GGCGGACGTTCGGTAGTAAGCCCCAACCCAGCAACATATATGTTGTTTGCGTGCTATGTGTTCCTGTTGTGCTCTTGCCGCTTCTTGTCGCGTCTTTGGCATTTCTTGCAGTGGCTTATTTTGTGCCAACTTGTTAGTGCAGCTGTTGGCAAGGTCGCGCCAACCATCCGCACCACTCACAGCACCAGTCCGCTCGAGTCGCACCATTTGTCTGAACCAATGCACTACCCATGAACCCTGCTCAACACCCCAACATTGATGGCTTCCGTAAAACCTCTCACATGGCTCCGGAGACGAGAAAACACACAACCATCCAGGGCTCCTAGCTTTGGGAGGCACTTTTTCGGGCCTCAGCGGCCCCTTTTGGGGAGGCTATACAATGACACCAAAAGGACACCACCTGGAGGAATTAGTCCCCATTTGAGTCAACATCAAAATCAGGTATTCAAATGGTCTACCCAGACTAAAAAAGGCGTCCCCCATTTATGGTTGGGATCGCCCCTTTCCCTTCATCTACCAGGGCTTTGAGCAAGCGGCTCATGTGAGAAACACTCACATGAGTCACAATCAAAACCCGGTACAAAAATGGTCGACCCAGAACCATGTAAAAAACTAAGAAGGCGGATATCCGCAGCTATTTGTGGCTGGGATCGTCCTTCAATTACCCGAATCGGTTTTGAGCACGTGGCTCACATGGCTGTGGCTCAAAATTAATCAGGAGGGGCAAACCGCAGGTTTTTGTCCATTCCACTTACCAGGGCAACGCCATTTTAGAATTTCGGCTTTTTGAGCCGCAGCCACACGTGGCTCACATGGCACACCGATTCGACGCCGGCCTTGCCGCCGTAGGGTCCGGCCAGCAGCCGGGCTCGGCCGTGCTCGGAGTCGAAGTCTGTGAGCAGCTCTGAGCTCACGGTGCCGTATCTGGGCGTGTTGTTTCTTGGAATTTGAAAGCACAAGGGAAACCCAACAAAATGCGGGTCCAAAAATTTTGAGAGTTATATTCTAGGGGCCAAACGAGGCTCTGCACTTGATGATTCGAAAGGGATGTTGTAACGTAAAGAAAGCAAAGTACTTGAAACAGTTTGCGAGTCTGGGTACATGCCCCAAGCTTATATCAAACTCCACTGTGCGTGGAAGGATGGTCTCGGTTCCTTGGTAGAAACCAGTTGTGGAGCGCTTCGAGTGGAGGCTGATGACCTTCCTTGTAGTGTGTTTTGTCTTTTTTACTTCATGCAACAAGTTCTTTAGACCATAGCACATGGCAAGAACGAGACCGAAGAAACTACACCGTTTCATAATTTCTGATGGGCGAGTGCAAGCTGCATTTCGGCAGAGAATGCCCGAGTTTTCCTCCTTCCAGCCCCACGACAAAGGCTCAATTGTTGTCACAACCCAATTTGGCAACAGCTTTAGCCTCTGCAATTTTGACTTGTGCCAATATATCAAACATTTCTGCGTTTAGCTATGTGGCAATGAATGCTGATGAGAAGCCCATCCAAAATAATCGGACATCAATCCAAATGTAAATGATGTTCACCAACTATGATCCTACGCTCATATTAAAGGATCGAGAACATCGGCACCCCTCATTTCATCGAGGCACGCCGGATCATCGGCCTTGTGCGCCTTTGGCACGTTCAGCCAGATCTGGAAGCCATGCTGCGTTTCACCTTTTTCCGAGAGAAGGTCCCAGCAACACGGAATCAAGCTGGATGGGGTTGGTCCATAAACCACAATTGAAAGGTCATTCTGAGGATGATCACAACAGACCCAGTGATATCGGATGGAAAGGGGAGAATGGTTCATGTAGTAGTGGAAAGCTTGAGTTATTGAACTTCTCAGGGGTGAAAGCATGTGAGGCCCCAAAACACCCACCAGCTCTGACTACACAATGTTGTGGGATGTGATGGCCATGCCAATATTCAGGACGTAGTGATGACATGTCAATACAGCCTGTCCAGGCAGGCGATCATCAAACTGTGTCCGCTATGGGGGGTCGCACCAACATTTCTGACATGCTGGTTGGCAATCGTTTGTGTTTACGGGGTTGCGCCCGTCCTTCTGCTGCTCATACTTAGGTGTGTTGGTGGCGGCACAATTCCTGCCGATACGATTGAAAATTGCTCGCACTGCAGTATCCAACGCAGTAACTCCAGTAACGTGGGCTAAGCGGGCTGAGTATGATCTTTGGCATGTCAACAAGGGGTATTAAAGATTAGTCCGTTTTCCTGGGACTTTGAGGCAGGCAGCGTGCTGTATGTCTGAGGCAAGATCTCTGAGAAGGGGCCTTGGCAAAAGCTTCTGTGGCAGTTTGGGGAGTGGTGGAAAGACCATTCAATCATTCCACCCCCCCCCCTTGATTGCCACAGAATCGATGTTTTTGGCAGAAACACTTTCGATCCCTTTATGAATCGGCATCCTACTCCATCTTCATTGTTGTTATTTGGAGTTTGCTTCTGCATCTTGCTACCGGGAGCGTACACCCAAGTGAGAAGCCACGGAATCATCGAGTCCATATACAAGATCCATATTCCTCTCATAATTGAATTTGAACTTGTATGTACGTGAGCTCTCTATCTTTCTCTCTCTCTCTATATCTTTCTCTCTCTCTCTCTCTATCTAGCTCTCTCTCTCTCTCTTTCCCTCATTTCTTTCCTTCCTTTATCTTCCTTTATTTCTTTCATTTTCTTTTATTGTCTTTCTTTTCTTTCCTTGTCTTGCTTTCTGTCTTTCTTTCCTTTCTTTTAGTTCCTTTTATTTTCTCTTTCTTTCTTTCTTTCTTTCTTCTTTCATTCTTTCTCGCTTCTTTCTCTCTGTCTTTCCTCTTGGCCGCTCAAAACCAGTTTTTTGTGACCTGCGCTGTCAGCCTAACTGGCATTTTCTTGATTGGTTGCTTGTATGATTTCAGTACGTTTACTTCACAATTCCCATTTACGATTTCAATACGATTTCCGCAACATTTATGTTTTTATAGACAAATTGTGTACGCTTGAAGCCCCCCACTTCCTCCACTTCCTCCTCCTCCACTTCCTCCTCCTCCACTTCCTCCTCCTCCTCCTCCTCCTCCTCCTAAAAACGCTTCTCCTACCTGATGGCAGAACATACACAAATCAGGTAAGAAAAAGTCTTATGAAATCGAGTTTATCTGTTTGAATCTGATTTCGGCTAAATTTGCGAACTTTTTTTTAAACCTTTCTTACGACTTCCCGGGACTCACCAATTCAACGTTTCCTCTTCCAAAAAAAAGCCTGCCAAGACGGTAAACCAGAAGCCCAAAAACATCTAAATCGTAAAATAAGTAGATGGGCTTCCCTTGGCTTAGCCTACACTGTAGGTCACAAGCACATTCCTCGGCATTCATTTGACAACCAGGTACTGGGTATTCAGGAATGAGAGGTGCACACCAACAAAAAGTCAAACCAAGGTCACCGTTTCTTGCGTCTGCCAAACCTCCAGGCATGAAACCACACGGGTCACGTCAACGTAGCCCAAGGGCATAGAGGTTCATTCTCCGCCCAACAATTGTACCTCAGAACTCCTCTGTATTTGCAGGTTGACACGCACGTGTTGCTAAAGGACCTGACCAAATCCTCACTTTCCAGCTTGATTTGCCGAAACATCGGATCGTCTGCCATCACGTTGCAGGTAACTAGGTTCCTTGTGCCAAGCTGGTATTGCTTGAAGGTCTAGGCCTCCAGTTCAAATGCGGCTACAATTGCATTGGGGTCTATAATCCCGTCCTCCTAATAATAAAAGTGGACCCCCCCCCCAAAAAAAAAAGAAGAAGAGGGTATTATTGATAGGGTGCATGTATTACAAGGGGGAAGGGATCAAGACGAAATGCTTCGAACAGTGTCACTTGGCCATTGGTCAAAGCCCCATACCCCCAATAAACATCCGATTCAATCATATTCAATCCCCACGAAAAATAGGTTCTAAAATGGGTGGTGAATTCACCTACCCCAAGATGGGATCCCCTTGGTTTTGACACCCACAGCCACCTACTTCTCAGCCTTCACCCATCCACCCTACCGCTCTCTCCGGGCCTTTCGCGGTGCCGCCCCCCTCCGCATGCTCAATGCCGCTGCCCACGCTGATCCATTGGAAGCCGGGGCTGTCAAACCTGCACATGGGGTCATGTTAACCCCCCCCAAACAAAAACAAGTAAAAGAAGAAGAAGAAGAAGAAGAGGCAGAAAAGCGAATTGCCAAGTAACGCCAGATTGTTGCAAATCAGATCATCAAAGCCCAGTACTGCCTGAAGTGACAAAATGGCTTCCGTACGAAGTCTTGCTCCTTTCAGGATTTCTTCATCCATATCCGGAGGCCAAACCGACTCATCACTTCAAGCTCTCTCTTGTCTTGATGGACTCTGGCCAACAAGATCCTTTCAGATTTCTCCGCTTCCTTCTAAGAGACCCATGGATTCCCAACCGGAATCCCAAGGCCGGTCAGAAAATCGATCGGGGCTCTTCGCCAGGCAGCTCTTCCCGGTTCCCCAGGGAGTCGGCATGTCTTCCTCGCCCTTCCCTCATGTAGGTCATGATGTCCATGCCCATGTGCGGGTGCCAAGCCACAGGAAAGCGGTCCTCACTCTCCGAATGGCTTCCTCTCTTTCGGCAAAAAGGAAAAGATGTGCAGAAAGCGGCGAACGGAACTCTGGAAGAATCAGTGCTTTCAATATTTCTCGAGAATTCACCCAGAAAGAGCCGCTGGGATGCTTCCGCCTTGCTCATAGGCCATGCGCACATCGTGCAAGAAGGTCAAGGCATACATGAGCAGCGACCAACATGAAAAGGGACACCATGGCATGAAGCCGTTCCGCTTCCGCAAGCTTCCGCGGCATGGGTTGCTTGCTTTGCACCTGGTTCTGCTTCCCCGGCTTGCGCACATGCCGAAAGTGTCGCTTTTGATGGGCTTCTTGGAGTCAACACAGTAGCTACTCGCATTGCGTGAGCGGCTATGAGCAAGCTTTGTTTAAGTGGAAGCCATTTTTCTGGGGAAATAACAAACTGCTGGTATCTCCTTGCTTCCAATGTGCAAGACAAGTGAACAAGATCCAAACTCTGTGGCCTTCCGCATAAAACGTTCGCGCTATGCTCCGCTGCTCCGTGGAAGATTCCGCGAGTTTCCGCGCTCTGCAGAAATTGGCACCCAAGACTAAGCTTCATGCGAAACTTGATCGCTGCTGACATGTATTTTGTGTTGTTCTGGTAACACCATCGCGGTGGAAGCTTTGCAAAATCAAGGACCACGTGCTGGGCTTCCTGGATATGCGTATCCTATCTTGACCACATACACCAGTACAGCAAAAAAGACATGATGTCACTCGCAACAACTTCTGCTTGAGAAACAGGTCTGAAATAGTCTGACCAAACCCAAGCTGAAGCATACATGGCCATGGGTCAAATCCCGTACCCCCCTATAGACTAAAATGGGTGGTGCACCTACCCCAAAATGGGATCCCATTGGTTTTGACAACCACAGCCACATCTTCAAGAGCTTGGTACAGATCAAGGCCTCGAACTCCGAAAGTGCACACCTAAGAACCTCAGATGGCTATGGGTCAAACATGCGTACCCAAAATGGAACCCTGGTAAAGGGAACCAAAGACTAAAACCTGCGGTCCAATTCCTGGTGGTTGTTTTTTGACCCATACCCAGATCAGTCCAGTGGCCGGATCCGTCTCCTTGCCGGAGCTCACCGCTGGGCCGAACTCATCACCTGGGCCGCGCTTCCGCTTTTGCGGTCAGCTGCACAAAATTTCGTGCCACATGAGACTGGGCTGCCCGATTTCTGATCCCCCGCTAAAGGTGACTAACTTTTAGTGGGTTAAATGGAAACTACCACTAAACACTAAAAGGCTAAAAGCTAAGGGGATGGCTGGGAGCCACCAAGGAGACCCCAGGACAGCTTCGGTGGCCAACATGACCACAGGCCAAGAGGGCCTAAGAACTCCTTTTGCATTCAAACATCCCTGTCTTGGAAGGATTCCAAGGTGCACATCAGGAAGGGATCTGCGTCCTTCTCGGAGATGGCTGCTGGAAAGGGCTGCATCACCGAGAACTTGGGGTCCCCCGTCCTTGAAGACAAAAACCCATTCGCGAGCATTCGCCAACATGAATGGCTCATGGTCTTGAGCGGTCTTGACACCTGCCCAACACATCTGAAAAGGAAAGGACATTCTTGCGGAATGCTCAACAACTCATCAAAATTGAGAAACCGCAGGTCAGTAGAGCAAGCGCATGGACTGTCGTCTCCAAACCAGGGTCAGCGCATGTGGCGGGGACTATTTATGTCAACACAGCGACAAAATTACACCTAGCCAGTCTGAGGCTAAAAGTATTGCGATTCCTGTAGACTGTGAAGTTCGACACGGACCCTCCAAATTGGCTGTATGGCCTTTCTCCAAAACCCAGACTTGGAGCATGTCCCGCATTCAATCCTTGCTTCCTTTGCCTTAGCACTCCAGCAGACTGGCTCTGCAGGATCTTCAAACGACCGCCGAAACCCGACACAGGCCATCCGAGCCACGGATGAGTCACCTGCGCTGCCTTCACTTCGATCACGGACATCATGCTGCCGTCCTTCGGAGACCGGACTGGTTTTGGCCTCCCAAACAAATCTGAAACATCCCGAGACACGAACCATGATCGGCTTTCTTCTAACACAAAAGCGACAAAAGGCCCTTCAAAGCCATCTGGAACTGCTGTGCGGTTGCAAGCCAAGCAGTCACGACGTAGAGGACTACACCACTCAAGAGGTTGAATAATACGCACATGTAGTCAGTCCTTCTTGCCCGGGCTTGACATGCATGCAGCAAACATTTCTGCAGAGGGCCGCAACAGCTGCGGAGACAGGGGCACTTCAGTGGCTGCGACGTAAGCTGCCAGTGACACCGTGAGACCGGGGATCCTGACTTTGGCAGACGATTTTTGAGCTTGGGCATGTGTCGTTTGCAAACGTGTTGTGTAGGATCGCTGCAGTTGGTTGACTCTTAGCCTCAAAGCGGCCTTCCGATCAGTTTCACATCATGTGCCAGCCTGTCTGGTGGGATATGTCATGAATGGCTGGGAATCGCCAAGCTGTTGGCGCCCGTCCCATGGAGCGCACCGTCATCATCTTCACAGCCGCATTTCTGATCTCCACCACATCTCCAACGGATATGGCCTGGCAACCGCATTCGAATGCTTCAAGCCCTCTGGATGTGCTACAGCTTTGACACGCTGAGTGAAAAATATAGGGCATGGACAGTTTGAGCTTTCGCATGGAACGTCTTAACATTCTGGATAGTGAGGATGCAGGTTCAAACTGTGAAACACTAGCTCACGAGCAGCTCGCATTGAAAGTGTGCTCTTGACTGGCTACCTGTGCTGGCCGACGCTTCAAGCGCTGCCATGGCCTTGAATTGCTATCGAGCCCGTCAAATCTCCGTCGCAACTTCGGACCCTTAGCCCAATGTCCCAAACAAAATCTCATGGCTGTCGAAGCGAGAAGACTTCGCCTTCATCTCCTCCGAGTTCAGTCGCAAGGTGACGATGCCGGAGGAATCCCCGACGACCACCTGAGGCAAATCAACAACTCTAACTCCTCCGCTCAGCAAACCACACGTTTTTCCAACGACATGTCTCTTGAGATCCTTTCTTTTGGGGCTCCTATCCTCTGGAAAAAGAAATGCCTTCGCAATTGATCCCCTATGGCCTTCCCAAAGCAGCGGCACGAGACGAAGCAAAACACCAGAAAACCATTGAAGCCATGAAGCCGAAAGATAACACGCCACACGTCAAAAGCACAGGGACAAAACCAAAGCAAGGAGCCGAAAGCGAGAACACGTCACATAGCATGCCTCAATCCTAAGCCGCAAGAGCTCGGTGCATTTTGCCCAAGCCAGCACCTTTTAGAATGAGGAAGCAACACCCGAAGTATGGAACCAACCACGCCAGACTAAGGACACTTTTCTGTCGGACTTCGATGGAGACATGCCATCTCAACGCTAAAGCCAGCTGCTGGGTCATTCGCACGGACCATGCAGTTAGCTTCACAAACAACATCTTTGGCCATGGATTGAAACAACTAGTTGGGCCCTTCAAATTACGTAGCTGCTGTGGAAAGTTGCCTTCAAATGCCAACAAATCTTTAAGTCCGTCACCTTTATACATTGACATGAGCTACAGAACATATTCATCGTGTCGCCCCATGACATTGTAATTTGGTGAGTCGCTGAGGTTCAGCCATCGCTACATGACGATTCCGAACTCGCTCCTTCATCATGTCCCACTGGAATGTTGCTGAGTATACGCCAAAACATTCCCTTTGCGGTAGATGACGGCAGCACATCTTCTGTGAAACCCGACTTGGTGAGCTCCCTTGCAAAATCCATCGGAGCGGACGGAGTGCGATGCCTCGGTGAAGGTGTCGCCCTTGCCCTCCTGCCGGGCCCCCAAATTCTTGCAAGCCATGCGGAGTCTGGAGCCGTCGTTGAGTCCATGCGAACGGGGTGTCTCTACTTCCATTTGGTCAAGACCCCTCCAAAAATAAAACTATGTCCAATAGTGATAGATTCCCTTTAATACCAACAGGGGAAAAAACATATTCTTCAGCAAATGGAAGTCTAGCTTTGACACAGTCCAAGGTAGCTTGAGGAGCGGGTGAGTACAAGGTTCTGTTCTGGGACCAAGGACAAAGGAAAACCAACCCTTACAACTGTAGACCGATGTTGCCAACAAAAACAATGGCAGCTCGCTCTGACGGAAAGGGATGGTATTCTTCTTTGGGCATCTCCCTGACTTGTGGGTGCTCGTCTTGGTCAGCACGCTCCTTCAGGAGGGCCATCCATGAGCACAAGAGAATGTAAACACGTGTCCATGCCGCAGCCCATTCATTGAATCCATCTGGCATGGCTAGCTTGAGCATTTTTTGTCCAAGCCCGACAATACGCAAATGTGTCTGTCCTCGATCACGGTGTGAAAAGCTCAAAGCGAGGAACATCATGCAGAAGCAAGCTGTACGCTGACAAGGCTACCCTCCAAAAAGCACAACTCCATACGGCCCATGCGGATGTTTTGTTCCATGGGGATCTCCTCCTTTGCACCGATCTCCACTACGCTGGTGAGCAGGTACACGCCACGGCTATCGGGCCTGACAAGCTTCCCATACCGAACCCCCTTTCGCACCAACGGTCAGAAACCCTGGAATGATTCGATTCCCGGTAAATACCAACAAACGTTATTTCTTCAACTGTGGTTTTGTTTCGTGGTGCGAAATGGATTTCGCAACCATCCGAAGTAGTTTGAAAGAAATCTGGAGGATGAATAGCCCGGCACACAAGGCACCTTGAAGCAACGCCCCGGCATAAATGATGCATACAGCTTTAAGGCATTCTGTAGCATACTGGGCATACTAGCGTGCTTCAGAATTCAGCAAGCCTTGCAGTGACTGGCTATCTGGATGACGCTGGCTATACAAAGGTATTCAATTGTGCTGTTGCTGATAGCAGCCTCGATCTGAATGCAAGCACATCATCATAAAGGGTGAACTAAACTACACATGTCCCCACACGCAAGCACAAATCAAATATGCTTGAATTCAGGAGCAGCACAAACGCCCATCATTTCAGCGGCAATCTGTAAGGATTGATCACAGAAATCACAGAAGTTCGGCTCTATGTGACTCCTCTCTCGGCATGGGTCCCGTCCAAGGCTCGCGCTGGATGTCAGCCACGTTGCCAAAGGGCTTGGCCGCCTTCTTGACGAACCTGTGACCAAATGAAACGGAGTGATGCTGGAAATGCGGGAAATCAAACATGTGAGCCACAGAACTTTGCGGACATCACAAAGGACATGGAGAAATAAGCGGAACTTCCTGGTTGCAAGAAAATGACAGAGTCCTCCCATGTCCCCCACAAACGGTTTGCAACGAGGACCCGATTGCAATCTGTGCATGCACATGCTTATGACGGACACAGCGTGATAAGTCAGCTGGGCTACAAACAGAACATGGCCATAGTATTCTTGCATATCTGCCATGCGCGAATCAGTCTGAATGGTGCACATGTATCTTGAGAATCTCGCTATTGAGTCCCGGGGGCCCTTCTCAACCCTTGTTTTCCAAAGGAAGCCGTTGTGCAGATGCACCAAGCACAGAGAGCTCTCCATCCGTCGCGTCCCCTAGCTCTTGGCGCCAGGCTTTCGCTCGGTGATGCCGAGCCTGGGAAGGCCAAGAGGGTCGCATCATTCGCCCCAAGCCTTGTGAGACAGGACGTTGTAAGTTGGTATGAATCAGAATGTAGAGTGCTATTATTGACTATCATCATTTGTTGCAACTATGATTTATCGTAATTTATTATATTATTAGATATGATTGGCACACCAACCGCATGTGAGCAATATCTCTTTTAGGCGGCAAACCGGCTCCCGTTGAAGTAAGCCACAGCGTAGCCAAGCAGTTCATGGCCAGGACTTCAAGGCATGACTTTGCTCAATGTGATCTCTGCCAAATACCCAATCATGGAAGCTGACAAGGGGGTTTTGAAAGACTATTCTCCTGTTGGGGAAGCCCGCTGTCCACTTCCATGTTTGTTAGAAAGAGGGTAGCCCCCTGAGTACTGTTTGTCCTAACATACGCCATCGGACCATAGACTGCAGGCAATGATGTTACACCCGCATTTGCGTTGCCAATAGTTGTAATGCAACTAAGCAAAGTCTACATAAGCACGGCTAACATGTAAATGATTACCATAATGCTCACACAGTCACACACACACACAAACACACGCTCACACACTCACACACGCTCACACACACACACCAACACACAACCACACAACCACGCAACATACAAACACACGAGCACACAAACACACAACACACACACACAAACACATGAACACACAAACACACAAACACACGCACACGCACACATGCACACACGCACGCGCACACGTGCTCACACGTGTACACGCGTATAAGCGTATACGTGTACACGCCCGCGCCCGCTCACGCGCACACGCCCGCGCACGCGCACACGTCCGGGCACGAGCACACGCCCGCGCACGCGCACACTTCCGCGCGCACGCGCGCACACACACACACACACCGTTCTGACATCTTTAACTGAACAAATACAACGCTTGGGTCTCCTCTCAAATCCAAAAGGCTGCGCTGAGGGGTTCCAGGTCGGGAACTTTTTCACAAAGTAGCAAAAGGAAGATCAACGGGTGCCTGATTTCCAGCTCCACCTGCTTGAACCAACACAATATGCAGCCTGACCAGCAAGCGACTGAAACTGCCAGTCTTCTCCTTGCAAACAAACCCTTAAAGCGTGGAACAAACTGAGGCAAAAGCAACAGCCCCTTCTACACATCGTCACGTTTGTACTTACTTGCTGCCTTGCATCGGCAGTTTCAATAAACCAAACGCCATGTTGCACTGTAGCACAGTCACAAAAGCAAGATGCCGTGCTTCCGGCCTCAGCGAAGCAGCCGCCATGTCCCTCAAGGTGACCTCTACGGGTCGCATTGACACGCCCAGCACTTCCTGCCAACGGGGCTTGGGTTGCTGTGACGTGCGCAGACCAAACGAAGCCTCACTGCTCAATGTAGCAAACTGAGGCAAGCTCATGCAGTCAGTTTGTTAACTCTGAAAGTGACGTTGTGTTTTTTAAGCAAGCGCAACACCCTCCACCCTGAAGGCGGCATTGCATGTCCTTGAAGTACTTGCTCTTGAACCTGAGAAGTGCGACTGGTATCTCTCTTCTCCTTATTGGCACCCTCTAGACTCATTATGCCTCCACGGAGCTTGGGCTCACCGGAGAAGCCGCGGCATAGCAACGTGGCTAACTTGCGACAACTCTCTTCAGCGGAGCTGTGTGAGACTTCTGAAGCTTGGACCCATGTTGGGTGAACATTTCGGACCACCACGAAACCGGGTCACCTCTCACAACGCAAGTTGCCTCGACAACTCTCTTCGGGCCCCTGCGTGGCGCTGGCGCTCATCTCTTGGCTCGTCGTGGGCAGCGGGTATGCCTGGCTTCGGCCGCATAACGCTGAGAGTGAGCGACCGGGAACGCCTTGATCTCTAGGGAAGGCAAGGACGGCAAAACCTGAAACAAGCGCGGTGACAAAGTGAAACCATACATATATGCTAATATGTGCAAGTACTCATGGTGTTTGGACACAACGCACCAGGCATTCTCAGGATTGGATCACTCAACAAATGCCAAATACTCAGTATTCTTGACCACGGCAAGCAGGCCTAGACAGGCTTATTCTGGGATTGAAGGCAATGCATTTCGCAGCTTACCTGAGGGCTTGTTGCTGAAGCCGCTTGCAATGGCAAACACACACCTGTAAACTCCCGGCAAGCGACTGACAGTTTATGTCACTCCAATCACTAAAGTGAAATGACATCGCTTCAGGACCAAAGACCTTGACGGTTTTTTTTCATGTTCGGACGCCCAGCTTCGGAGAGAGCGGCCTTGTACCTGTCGCCGAGCAGCTCGGCCATCTTCACCTGAGCTGAAAAAATAAACCCGTACTAAAACTCTTATCCCAAGTTGTTTTCATTGCAAATCCAAGCGGCGGTCTTCATAAGCATGAGGTCGCCCAATAGCATGCCCCTTTAAGTGTATGAGGTTGTTGGCAAACGAAAGTAGTGGTAGTAGTAGTAGTAGTAGTAGTAGTAGTAGTAGCAGCCGCAGTAGTAGCAGCAGCAGCAGCAGCAGCAGTAGTGGTGGTGGCGGTGGTGGTAGTAGTAGCAGTAGCAGTAGCAATAGCGGCAGTAGTAGTAGCAGCCGCAGTAGTAGCAGTAGTAGTAGTGGTAGTGGTAGTGGTAGTGGTAGTGGTAGTCGTAGTCGTAGTAGTAGTAGTAGTAGTAGTAGTAGTCGTAGTAGTAGTAGTAGTCGTAGTAGTAGTAGTAGTCGTAGTAGGCATGTGGACCAATGGCCTTGAATACGCCTGGGAGGCTACGCGGAAGCAAACTTGCTGGGATCTGCAGAAAAAAGGACATGCAAAATACAATAGGCCACTCCTGCTCCAAGCAGTTTCGGGGGATCTGCGGGCTGCGCGCGACTTGCGCGGGACTTGCGCGAAACCTTGTTAATCTTTAGGCCATGGTGATGATGCTGATGATGATGATGAATCTTCACTGCGTCACTTGCGCTTCACTTGCGCTTTACTTGCGCAGCCCCATGTTTGACTTGCGCGGCCGCTCCTGCAACACACTCCTGCCCTTCGAATTACAAGCGGCGGTGCAGCTGATTTGATACGTCCAAAACAACTGGGATCATGCCTTACATTGACACATGCAACGGGGTTTCTTTTTCTGCTCACCTTGGGTTTCCGCTGGAGCAGGGTGACGACACTCGGCGCCCCTTCTTGGCCTCCCCAAAGTAAGAATCGTCTTACCAGCGATTCTGTCATTTGCACATGTAAGCGCCATGTTTCAACCTCCATTTGGATTCCCTTAATTTGCCATGGTCTGCTTGTTTATAGACCGGTGCCCACGGATTGACGAGCCATCCGTTGGACTCGGAACTCCACAGCGGGATGTGCTGAGCAAGGGCCTATCAGCTCTCTTACTCTCTTGATGGACGACATCCGTTCCTGAGTCTAGAACAATCAGTCGGTCCACTCAAAAGGGTGGCCACCCTAACCATGCCCCAGTTTTGTCAGAGGTCACTGGATCTTCAAAAGTTAATCAACTTACTGGCGGTTTCCATTGAAACGATCGCCTTTTTCGGAGCTTCCCTTTTTTGGGGCCCCCAAGCTTTTGACACTTCCGATTCTTTCCAAGCAACCAGTTGCAGCTTCTGCGCTTTTAAGCCAAGCGGAACCGGATGAAGCCAAGGCCGTGGCGACCGAGTATCCCGTCTCGCTGGACACGATGATGCGCTTGCCCACCGCCTCCTCCTTCTCCATGGCGCGGACCTGGGAAGTCCAGTTGCCCTGCCACCGATTAACTGGGTTGGGTTGGCCAATCCTAATCCATAATCCCTATAGGAAAGCCACTACAAAGGGGACCGGTTCCTTGCTTAACCCCAAGTAAGGACAAAGGATTACCTTTCAACAGCCCAGATTCACACCTGGAACCTGACGTTCGGGACACGGTCCCTAAGGAAAATCGTCAAGGGTCTGGGCTCTGAACCTCAAGGTATGTGAATTTGCGGGAGGCTACCCCATAGAAGGGGACGTTGGAGATCTGCAACAGTCACCCTCCCCAGTTCCAAGTTTAAGAGGGGGGAGGCGTTTTAAAATACCCAGCTCAGCATGTGCAAAATGAGGCAACAGCAATCTGGCAGATTTCCAAATTGCCCCGCAGAAGCATCACACAGCTAAAGGTTGCTCGGCGCCAAATGCATTGAATGCCCCGCAATTATTCTCAAGACAAACAAGTGGCAGCAATACTTGCCATGAACCTGATCATCGATAAATTTGGGCACATGGCGTCCCCTCGTGCTCTCGGAAACTACTGATAACTTCTCATTTACCAACGCCCCACCACTGAAACTGGATTTCTCGCCTGTGACTAGTGTGGCCTTTGTGTAAAATGACGGAGTTGGACCTGGATCTTGAGTGGGCCGCGACTTTTGTCAGGGTGGTTTCAAGGGAAACCAAGGAAACAAGCCATTTGCGGGGATCCTACTGTGGATATTTAAGAAATCCTAGAAGGATGATTCCCCTGTAAATACCCACAAACCATAGCTTCCCATGGTTTCTTAGGTGGTGCGAAATGGATTCCGCCCATCCACAGCATTTTAGCACGTGCCCAACAAATAGATCACTTGAACACCAACTGAACGCCTGAAAGACCTCCGGGAGTCCTGCGTGCGCCAGGGCCAAGTCGCGGACGTCGGTGACCTCAGCGCATTCGCGGACATTGGGTGCTACATCCAGGTTCAATCACAAACCCTCTAGGCACCTGACGGGTTTACTGGAACCCTTGAGGTTGCCACTATCCGCCTGGCGCTTTTCGATTCAAAAGCAGGCAACCAGCAATGTCACCAGCTCATCTTTCTAGCCACGCAAGTGACATGTCTGCCTCCAAACCCAAAAGCTCGAAGCCAAACTCCGACACTGCCGGTGCTTCGAAGAAATGCAAGTGCCCATTCCAACTTCGAAAACCCATTCTACATTTAGACGCAAGCTAATCGTATCACCCCGTGGCAAATCACAATCACGCATGTGCCATGGTCAAAGCTCCTTATGCGGAGCCATGGTCTTCGATCTCTTGATTAGGAGCCATGGAAGCCCTAAACAATTGAGGGGTTGATGCCTACCCAAAGAACAGCCAGTGGCGAGCCCGCCTTTTCCTTGAGCGTGCCGTCCTGGCGGCAAATCGGAGGGCAGTCGCCGTGAGGGCGCAAAGGATACATTGAAAGTTCAACCTCCCCCCCCCGCTCCAGCATGCCCTTCATGAACAGCACCGACTCGCCATCAGCGCGGGAACTCAGCATGGGGCCTGCAAGCCAGAACTGAGCTTGGTCAAACAGGGTTCCGAACAATCTGATGTGAAGGAGAGGGAAAGCCATGGGAAAGCAAACTAAACGGCGTGTCGTCTTTGCAAGCATCTTTCCTAGTTTTTCCAGTAGAGAGGGTAGAATAAGGGTACCCCTTTTTCTGTAGTCTATTTTAGTAGGGGAACCCTCCCCCAAAAAAGGGTAAAAGGGCACTGCTGGGGGACCGAGTTGGAATGCTTGTCAGTGGATTGTCTCGTCCGACGCGCGGGAGCCCGAGCCAGATTTGAACTGTGCAATGGGAGACTCAGATGAGACTCAGCCAATCGACACTGAGGATCCTGCCCAGCACGAAGCCAGGGCAAATCACAGCAAGATCCACATTCAACCTCACACTCGCGTCATCACGGCCCAAAGGGAGTGCTGCTCGTCAGCCCTAAGGACTTTGCAAAACTCCAGGCTATAAAACAAACACACAGAAGCTAAACGCAAGAACCGCCATGTAACAAAGTCTCGGGGTACTTCAACCATCAGTGGCTCTCCTCCTTGTGGCTTTCCAGGCCGCAACGATTTCCAAGCTTTGAGACATATCCAGGGACGGCGCCGGGTATCCGGTTCCATTGATGATACCCTCTGGGATTGTTGCTCTCCAGAAGGCGAAGGTTCCAGGGTTGAAGTGTTGTCAAAGGACAAACCTTGAGCTGACCTAGCAACCTGCACAAGCTTCCGTTTCCAGCTTGCATATGGAACGCAAAAGGGGCTTTCTTTCTCGGGGAAAGTCAACCGCTCGGAGTGGTCGTCTCTGTTTCTTCGTTGATTCGTCTACTGGGAGCTGAGTGCTCTCTCCAAATTCCCCGCTCTCAGCGCCGGACTCCTTGGACAACTCCCAGGCCTTCTTCTCAGCCAGCGCTTTTGAGGCTCGGTAGCCTGCGCTTGGGATGGAAAGATTTGCACCAGCGCCCCTGCATTTTTTTCTTGGGGGGGGCCTTTTGAGGAGCGCGTTTAGAGGGGAGCTGGTTTCGAGACAAACCAAAGCGGTTTTAGTGGCACCTTCAAAACGAGGACACGCAAAGGCAAACCTTGGCTTCTGATGCACACGAGGTTTTCAGCTTTAAGCAGCATCTAAACATCATGATACAAGACAAGGTAGCCACTTCCAACGGCAGATTTGCGGCGTTTGCCTCTCAGCGGGGCGCCTTTGACCGGATTGTCCGGCTCCTCATCATTCCAATCGTCCTCCGTCCACACCTTCGCGCGGTCCATGAGCAAATGGCACACTGTCTCCGGTGAATCCAACGAGCGTCTCCCGAGGTAGCAGGGTCATCCACCTCTTGCCATCAGTGGCAGTCCAATTCACAATCCATCGGCTTCCTTGCGTAGGGCCGAGTTTCACATCCTTTTGCTTGGCCTCTCCTACAAAGCAACACTCTCGACGAAAAGTCCCAAGTTTGCTCAAGCGCATCTTGGTGTCCGCTGTGCACACATCACACGAAACCGTCCCAGGCCGCCTTGTCATCGCCACCATCCTGAGATCGTTTCGTCCGTAAGGAGTCCGCACCACAAATGACCCGCCCGGCCCACTTGAATTCACCATAGTGCCAGTAACGGATGCCCAAAACCAGAAGCGTAGGCCGAGAGCTTTATGGACTAGGGTGAAGCTCGCAGCCGATTTGCTGAGAGTTGCAAAACAGAGACTGCACTGCTGCAAAGACCTTGGCACAAGGAAAGAGCGTTTGATGAACAAAGGGAGCTCCAGTTGAAATCCCAAAGGGCTTCTCTCCCTGTCAAGCTTGTGGTTTCTTGACCCGGTCCAAATTATTTTTTCTCCCGGCCAGGTCCCGGGATCGCCCGATCGCCCGCCTGGAACCACTTCATGGGAGGCCCCACAGCTGCGATGGAGGAGGTGAGCACTACACGCTTGATGTTGGCCTCCGTCTCAAGCCGGGAGCCAGCGACTGGTCTCGGATATCTCGAACCGTTTGGCCTTTTGGAAAAATATGGATTCCGGTTTCCCAGGCAAATGGAACCGGCGAAGAAAACCCATCTAAACCAGAGCCATCCATGTTTAACGAAGTTTGCGTTAAGTTTTTTCCATGTCGTTTAACTGGAATTGACATCGCGGCTCTCGCCGCGTACCGAGCCTTGGCAGCCGCCTTCATCACCGCCTGGCCATCGCGCGTCGTGAAAACAGCCGCCCGTGCCGTCTGGCGGGACTATCAGGGCTTGCCAGGATCGAAGATAGCTTCATGCGAGTGGCTTCCTTCAAACCTTGCTTGAGCAAACGCCAGCAATGCGTCAATGCAGGTCCTCGAAGAAACTATCGGGACTGGTCGAATGAACTCCATGCCGATGCTGACACGAAAGGTGCTTCACAAGTAACCGCTGTCCAAGAGCCAAGGGAGGCTGCCCAAGAAAGCCGACACGCAGACCGCAAGCCCAGGTGCTGGCGATGGGGCGACATCAATGTACTGAGATCGAAATGAACAAAGGAACATGTCCTTGAGCCAAGCGCGTGTCGGTCTGGTCATATTTCATCGCAATGCTTCTAGCTCGATATCCTCACCACACCGTTGGCACCTAGGCTGACTCGAACCAGTCTCCATCTGCGCTCAATTGTCGCACCTCCCTCCGGACTTTCTTTCCAGCTTGAAGATGAGAACATTTTAGCATGAAAACTGAAACAGCCATGATAGCAAAGCGTGGCATTCCTTCCTATAGTGGCCATATGGCAGTGGCTCATAAACTCATACCCAAAAGGCCCCGTACAAGGACACAAAGACCAACACCTGCGGTTTGCCCTGAATCTTTACTTTGGAGTCACTCATTTTCTTGGGCTCCGTTTTTTTTTTGTGTGTTTTAAACACACATACTTTGAAATCACCCCTGGGGGTCCAGGTGTTTCCCTTGCCACGGCGTTTTCCGTCGATGGGATCCCGGCCCGCGGCCTCGGTGCCCTTCACCGCGGGCTCGATGAGCTCCTTCTGGACGTCTTTTGCGTCCAGCCTGGGAGCTGAAGCCTTCAGACCTGCCTTTGGCTTGAGACAAACATGAGCTGCAGGGCTGAGTTCAGGAGCCATGGTTGAGGCCAGTTTTTGATGCTTCAGGTGTGTGTTTGTTTGGGAGCTGAATGCTCCAAAGGGCGCAGTGGGAAGCGAGGGCAAAAGCTTGGAGCAGTCTGAAGCTCCAATCCAAATCTAAAAACTGGGTGGAACTGCGATAGTTGCTGCCTGAAAGGTAATACACTTGCTAATGCTTTCTTGCAAGGCGCTTTAACCCACTACAGCCTCTTTGTGGCCAACACATCCTCGCTGACCAGGGAACATGCCTCACAAGTTGCTATGACCATGCGCATTGCAGCCACCACTGACCAGAAGGGTATACTGGCACTGCCTCCCTGCCACAACGGGCACAGCTACACAATCTGGTTGATCCTGCCAGTGATCCCATTGCTTTTTGTCTGTTTGGATCCAAAGCTTTGCCTCGATATTCGGGATCTGATTGAAATGCAGCATCAGAAGCAACCGAGACAGGCCACGTGCCAAGTGCCTTCAATTCAAGAGCCTCGGAACCTCAACGGGCTTCCTGGTTTCGACCTTGTTTGGCATGAGACTTTGCCCCACAGCTGATGGGTAAAACAAGCCATTCGCAGTTTCGCAACCGGCAAATTCGCCGGGCCAACAGCACCCCATATGAAGCAAGGTGAACTATGAGAAGTCACCAGTGTGTACGGACTTACCTTACTAGGTCCTCCAGAGAGGTTAGAATAAGGGTACCCTTTTTTTCCCTAGTCTATTTTAGTAGGGTTCCCCTCCCCCCAAAAAGGGGTTTTAATGTGCACTGGGGGACCTCGCTTAAGTCTCAAACTCACCCTGGCGAAGCGCCGCCCACATCTGAGGCTCTGGCTTGAAAGGCGAGGCGGTGTGCATGACGTACTTGCACCCTTCCATGGCCTGCGCTCGGAACCCTTCCTTTCTTCGACAGTACCCGGTTGGTATCGAGATGCATGCTTGGACCTAATTTTATTGCGGACACAACTAAGCGACCCACGCACAAAGACAGCTTGGATGAATCTGAGGGTAATAAAACTGCCCAAAATCAATCGAACCAGTCTCAACTGGACAGCTGCGCATCATTGCGCAATATTCCAGACATACTCACCACGCCCCAACAAGCACACTTCTGTTTATTCACATCTAGGTCTTCCGGCAGAGAGGTTAGAATAAGGGTACTCTTTTTTCTGTAGTATCTGTAGTCTATTTTAGTAGGGAACGCTCCCTCAAAAAAACTTGGTAAAAGGGCACGACTGAGGGACCTAGACATGACATGGACGGTGACTTCGAATAGAAATTCGTTGGCCGTCCTTCAGGAAGTCCTCCTCTCCACCACAGAGGTCAGCCTCGCCGAATTAACGATGCGCAACGCGCGGGGGAAGGTCAGAATCGCTTCAAAAAGCTTCGCACCTGGGCATGGGTTAAAATTAAGCCACCAACAAAAACCGCGAGTTTTGGCAGGGTTCCATTTTTTGGGTACCCATTTTTGACCCACAGCCACCTCAAAGTGGCCGAACTTCCCGACACCTTGAGTTGACTGTGGGTGCTGGTCAAAACTGGGCAATGATCATCAATGGGTCATGGTCAGCTCAATGGTCAAGACTGGGCAATGCTCCTGGGCCACTGTCTTGAGCACCAAATCCCTTCAGCCACCGCAACCCCTTCAGCAGCTCGAGAGCTCGAGAGCTCGCGGATCGCCTGACAGAGCTCCACTTGAGGGAAGAGCCGCTTCATGGAGACCACCTCAGGGCGTTTAAAGTCTCGCCGGAACCGAAGGACCCGTCGGACCCCTGCCCGCCGCATTGCGCCCCCGACTCTCTCGCCGAACTCCGCGAGTCCACAGCTCCCCCGAAGACTGGACTTCCATTTCCCGAGGCCAACTGGGAATTGGAAGGCTTCCATAGTCTGAGGGAGCAAGTGACGGCATTCCTCAAACCTGGCACGTCCACCAATTGGCTCGCAGTGAAATCCCCAAACTTTGATCTCTCAAATGGCATTGGAAGAATTGGGGGGGTGGCCACTCTGTTGAATCCCACGAGCTAGATGGCTATGCTGGATCCCCTCAAGAACCCAACTAAGTTTCATCTCGCGCACTGACTGAAGTCGCGCTTTTTGGGCAAGAGCAATGAAAGGCAAGTCTGGCTCATGTCTGACAGGCAAGTGCTAATCCCAGCGTTCCTTCAGAGACCCCTGAAAGAAGTAGACACTTCGGGAAGGATAATGAACTTGCTACTATTTCGCATGAAAGCAAACATGCACTTGCCAAAACCCGGAGGATGTGCTTGTCACCCATTGTTGAGCTTTGAGTTGGCTGGTACTGTTTGGTAAATGTTTTTCAACATGCACGGCCAATCAGGCTCACATGATGCTGGATGATGTTCTGCAAACAACGAGCTCTTGGATGGAAGTGTGCACACAACGGCTGAAACCACAAACCCAAGGAAGCGTCAAGTGAGAGCAGTCGGTTTGAACACGATCGGAAGTAGTCCGAAATGCCATTCTGGCCATGCAAGAAACCTCGGCTGTCAATGCAAGTACCCCGATGGCCCCATGACTGCAAATGCTTCCAAATGTTTTGACTCTCACGTACAGCACATCACGCACGCCACAGTTAGAGCCTGCAGTTTCCGAGGGAATGCCACCGAGGGGTTCTTTCATCCGGGCTGTTCAAAATGGGTTCGGTTGGCCAATCCCAACCCATAATCCCTATAGGAAAGCTACTACAAAGGGGACCGGTTCCTTGCGTAACCCCAGGTGAGTCATAATCAAACCCGGTACCAGTAGAGCCGGCGAAGCCGGTGGGCGGAAGTTTCAAAAATATAAAACTATAGTTCTCTTTCTCTTTCTTTGCTTGACTCTTTTTCTCCGTCATTCTTCCTTTCTTCCTTTCTTTCCTTCCTTCCTCCCTTCTTTCCTTCTTTCTATCTGTCTTTTCTTGTCTATCTATCTTTCTCTACCTATCTATACCTAACTACCTATCTATCTATCTCTCGTGTTATCTATCTATCTGCTTATCTATCTATCTATCTAGCTCTCTATATATCTTCTCTATCTATCTCTCCATCTCTCTATATCTACCTATCTCTCTATCTTTCTATCTATCCATCTCTCTATATCCCTCTATCTCTGTCTCTCTCTTTCTCTATCTGTCTATCTCTCTATCTCTCTATCTCTCTATCTCTCTTTCTTTCTATCTTTCTATCTCTCTATCTC